CACTATCGCCTTGCCAGATCCAGGGCTCACCCTCTCCAAATGTTTAAGCAAGCTGTGAAGCTCTATCTCGAATAGAATCTCATTGACCTTGTCACGCACAGAAACCTGCCCAACGGTCACCTGCGGGCGGGTGACTGCAACATCGGATCCTCCACGCTCCACAAAGGCGAGCGGCTGGTTGGGCTCCGAAGGGTCAGGCGCCAACATACCAAACGCCTCAACATCATCAGTAATAGGTACCACCGACACGATGGACTCAGACGTCTCCAGTTGCTCACATGATATAGCCTCAGAGTTAGCTGCCAACACACTTGTCGCATCAACCTCGCCACTCAAAGACACCACATGCCCAACGGTCATAGATGAGTCAGTGATAGAACCAACCAAGTCTCCACTGTTTGCAAAGGCGGGCAGCTGACGGGACTCTGGCGGTGGCAGTGAGGGTGTCATGGCCACCGCCAAGGACTCCAATGCGCTCAGCTCCATCGGTAACACAATAGATGATTCCCCACAAAGCTCCTGCAACTCAGGCATAATCTGCAGAATTGGAGCTACGACCTCGCTAATAACCGCACTCCCATGAACAAGCGGTGTCACATCCAGAGCATGAGAAGAAAAATCTCCAAAGAAACATTCAGCATCCTCATCAATAGAAACAACCTGGAACTCAGGCAGCAAAGGCACAACCGACACAACCACAAGCTTGGCTAGAGCGTCGCGAAGCTCAGTGCAGAGCAGCTCAACCTCCTGAAGGAGCTCTGTGCGCAGCAGGGCAAGTTGCGACTCCAAAGTAGAGACCAAAGATGCGTTGACACTGGAATCCTTGCAACACCCATATTGGGACCTTGGCGGCACCGACACACATAGCGACGAGTGACCTACAACCTCAGCCCAACTCCTAGTCAGCGGAGGACAAGGCTGGACGGGCGGGGAGCGGCTCCGCTAGCGAGGAGCACAAGTGACCGGAGATCCACCGCAAGCGACCGGAGAGCGATCACAAGCAACCGGAGAGCTAGCACGACAGAACCTCTCCCGATGACCAGCCCGACGACAACGAATGCATTTGAATGGCTCACGGCATGCACTGACTTGGTGGCCACGCTCGAGGCAACGAAAGCACCTTCCTCGAGCCCAACGCTTGAAGGCGAGGCTACGCTCGAGACCTTCTCTCGACGGCTCGGGGTGAGCGTGCCGGCCGGAACGGCTCCCCCGACCCACATGCTCCCAGCCCACCCCGCCTACATGAGCGGCGGCGGCAGCAGTGAGGTCGTTGCATGCCGACGCTCAAGACGGACCAAACAGAGGAGAGCCCAACTTCTCTGGTGTCTTCTCGTCGTTGCACCCATCATCGGTTCTTTGAGCCTCGCCGGAATCAGCGCCTCCGGAGGCGGTCGATGCTGCCGCACAGGAGGCCGGCATGGTCGTCTTCACCCCAACGCAGGCGTCGTGGAGGGTACTGGTAGCATCGAGCAGCAGGTCCGCCGGGGCCGACGCTGCGGCACAAACTATCTTCTCCTGATCTGGAAAAGGCGCCGGGTGTAGAGGAAGACTGATAGCTGCTGGAGGGACGACGGGCAGCGGCTCCGTAGCGGCCGTCGTCACGGAACTTGGCAGGTGGCGAGCGCGACCTCCAATGGCCGGGTCAGCCCTACGGGAGGCCAAGGCAGCCGAGGCCAGCACAGCGGCGGCGGAAGCCGGGGAGGTGAACTGCGGAGTCGAAGCTGCCGCGGGGAGCGACGCGAACGTGGGCGCAGCTAGCTCGCTTGGGGGCATCGCCGGACCAGCCTTGAGCATGCTACATCCCTTGGCAGAGCAGGCCAGCGACGTCGTCGTCGTCGGCGGATCCCGATCCAGATCGGAATGAGGATAGGACGGGGGCGACAATGGGAGGATGCACGACACGAGGCCCGCGGGCAGCTCGGCAGGAGGCGGCGGCAGCATGCTGGCCGGGACCCAGCACAGCAGTGGGGTGGCCGACAGGGCCGGAGTGGTCGCCGCTCTTGCGTGATGGTGGTCAACGGCGCGTGCTTATCGGTTGTGAGTTGTAAAGGTCAGATCGACCGCCCTTTTACGTGCATGGACGATTGGACGAGGTCTCGCTCGCAAAAGCTGGATGTGATTCGAGGGAAAACGAGTAATGGTTCGGGCTCAGCTCGATCTGGCCCGTGGTACACGGCTCAGTGCGATAACTTTTGGACAACGCCAACGCCCACACGTGTGGTGGGAGTCAAACCCGCCCACACGCCCTATAACATACAGACTACGCCATGTCACCGCATGCATGCATATGGATATCTTTTTGGATTTTCAGTTTTTAAAATGATTTATCTCTTAAATGAAAAATCTGATTGAAGATCCGTTTTCACCTTTAAATCCTTCACGACGAGATCTTCAAAACTAGATCTCATATCAATATATTTTGACATGTTTTTGGGTTAAAAATTGCCATGTCTATTGCACATGAATTGCCATGATGTTTACACTAAAATTGTCATGTTATGTTTCAGCTATTTTCTTCTGTATTAAAAAGTAAACTTTGACATATTATAAAATGGAGAATTAAGAAACTAGACTTGTCATGCACCATAAACTAAAATTGCCATGATATATGCACTTAAAATTGCCATGGTTCATGCAAAAAAATATTTTCATGGTCAAAGTACAGGAATTGCCATCATCAAAAACTAAAATTGCCATGATCTACAAACTAAAATTGTCACATGGCAACTTTAGTGTAAGCACCATGGCAACTACAGTGTAAACATCATGGCAACTTTTGAGCAATTTTTTTTTGTTGAAACATATCAACATGGGGTCTAGTTTTAAAGATCTCGTCGAGACGAATTTAATGGTGAAAACAGATTTTTAATTCGCTTTTTTAATTAGGAGATAAAACATTTTTAAGCCAAAAAACAAAAAGATTTCTGCTGATATCATCTGTTCATACGTGCTAAATGAGTGGTGATGGAGGCGTGTGGGTGATGTGTAAACGCCCACACGTGTGGGCGTTAGTTTTTCCGTAACTTTTTCCGTAAGCTTTAATACTGTCTCTCTGTTGTTGCTCAAAAAAAAATCTCTTTGTTTTTTAATTGATATCTCTATTTTTTACTGGAGGTTGTCACGTTCATACGCGGGGTGATCATGACGGAGTCGGTCACTACACAAGTGTGTGATGGACCGGCCTCGCGTGTCACTGTCGTCGCGTCGGTTTCGTTAATTTTGTGTGCTGAAAAAAAGGAAGAAGTCCAATTTAAACCTTAATCTTGTAGGGGTTAGATAAATCGAACCTGCAACTCCCAATCCCGGAAATTAGGACCCTGAACTAACAATTCCCGGTCTAAATCAAACCTTACAGCCGTTTGCTGCCTAAAACGTTGATGTGGCAATGCTTGACCGGGATTCTTATTAGTGGTGGCCCAACAAAGCGATGGGGTTATAAATTGAAGAAAATCATACAATAGTTGGTATAAACCTGAGACGAATACTTGGCATAAATCTGGGAGGAACATTTGGTACCATTTGGTACATATAAACTGCAGAAATAAACTATAGTACCGGGAGAAATATTTAGCATACACGTTGGACAGATTGCAAGGAATAAATCTAGGACATTTGGTACATATAAACTGTAGAAACAAAACCTGGGACATTTCATATATATAAACTGTAGAAATAAACTTGGGGCATTTGGTACATATAAACTGCAAAAATAAATCTGGGGGCATTTGGTACATATAAACTGCAGAAATCTTGGATATTCATAGTTCATAAATCTGGGAGATTACACCAAAGATGGCAATGCAAAATAATCAAAAATATCGAGGACACAGGACACATGACTTTGGCACTAGTAGTTGCCACTGCAAGTGAAATATGCATAACTTGGCACTGAAGATGCAGATCTTCCTCTGCCCCTTTTTGCTCCAGTTCTAGAAGCATTTGTTCCAAGCAGTGAAGATGAAGATGTTCCACCAGGCACTGAAGATGCTCCAGGTTGAAAGGGTGCAGATCTTTTTCTTGGAGGCTTGAACTTGTTTGATGGGGCTGCAGCTTGAGCAGTTCTTGCTACAGTAGGGGCAACAGCTTGAGAACTTCTTGGTGCAGCTTGGGCAGCAGTATGAGTTCTTGGTGTAGCTGGGGCAGCAGGTTGAGAAGTTGGTGCAGCTGGGGCCACAGTTTGAGTAGTACTACCTTGTGCTTGCTGTAGAAATAAGTAAAATACAATATGAACTCAAATATTTATTTGAAATTCTATAATATTCATCTAAACTCTGTAGTATTCATATACAAGCAATCAAATTCTCTAATAAGTAAAATACAAAAAGAACACAAATATTCATTTGAATTTCTATATGATTCATCTAAATTCTGTAGTGTTCGTCTAAATCAATTAAATTCTCTAATATTCATCTAATATGCAAGAAACATACCTCTGCTTTCTTGCTCTTAACTAGGTGTGCATTCTTTTTCTTTCCTCTCTTTGGATTCTTTTTGCAGCTAGCCTTATTGTGTCCAATGCTACCACACAATGAACACTTGATCACAGTTCCATGTTTGCTCATTTTCTTACCCTTCGGCTTCTCTGTTTCTTCCCTCTTCCTGTCATTGTTAGAAGGCCTGCCCGACATTTTCACATATCCAAGTGCTTGTGGCCTAGGATTTGGAGAAACTGGCCACATCTCCTCACCCTCAACAGGCTGCAAACAGTGGTCATATTTTTTTTCCTGCACATCAACTGAATAGCAAGGGTGGATGAAATCATCTACTTTTTTTTCCACACTTGTAGATGGCACTAATTGCATGGCAGCAAGGAAGATCCGCCAACTGGAAGTATCCACATGAGCATGTCCATTTATCAAGATTTACAGTGTATTGTCTTCCTCTGCCATTGATGTGCTTCACTTCAAATCCATCTGTGTCATTCCAAAGCACTTCAACAAACCGTGTCCTTGCAATACTTGCCTTCAACTTCTTGAAAATGCCAGGACATATTGTCCCATTCACTTCTCACTCTTTGCCCTTTGTTCTTGCACTCTAACAAGTATCTTCTTCCTGATTCTCTCTTGCATGGAAATTATTGGATAAAACCTTGCATCTACTATTGAGTGATTGAATGACTCACAGAGATTATTGTCGACAGACTCACAATTTGAGCCTAGCTGAAAAGATGCCCTTGCCCAATGCATAGGCTCTGTCCTCATAATGTCCTTCACTCCATCAGGTGTCTCTTGAGAAAGTTTTGCTTTGCGATAGTTGAAATCTTGCTTGTTAGAAGCTTTTGCAATGGCCCAAATTTTTTTCTGCCACTCATGAGATCTATGTTTCTTTCTCCAGTTCGCATATATGTGCCTAGCACACATCCTGTGTTCTACATTTGGAAGATAGTCTTGCATTGCATGTATTAATCCCTTTTGCTGATCTGAAATAACAACCCAGCCGGCTCCATTGTTGTTGATATCCAGATCTTTGATAAGCATCCCAACAAACCACTTCCAACTTTCTTTTGTTTCCTTCTCAACTACAGCCCAAGCCACTGGATACATCTGGTTGTTGGCATCTCTTGCTATTGCACACAAAAGCTCCCCCTTCACTGCTCCTTTGAAGAAACAGCCATCGAGCCCTATTACTTTCCTGCAACCAGCTTTGAAACCAAGTTTCATTGCATTAAAGCAAACATAAAAACTCTGAAATATGTTTTGATCCATGTTTGTTGGGTCCAAACATACTGCAATAGTGCTTCCAGGATTGCTCCTCAATAGTTCCAACTGGTAATCAAACACTCAAGTGTATTCGTTCTTCATACCACACATCAATCTGTCCATGACAAGCTTTTTTGCATGCTTACACTTAGAAGTTGACACATCGGCAAACATATCTTGGAGAACTATTGCTTTCATGCTGTCAATCTTCCACATTGGGTTAGCTAGTATGAAGTGTTCATATCTTTGTGCAATCACTTTAGCAGTCACAAGTTTGTTTTGCCTATTCTGAGCACAATGGTGTTCATCATTGAAGGTAACCACTTGCATTCTTGAAGTTCTTGAATTTTTTGCTGCATATAATAGCCAAGGACAACCAGGCCATCCACACTTGGCCCTCACTCTATCTGACTCTGATTTTAAAAACTCAATACTCCTTTTTGTGACTATTCCATATCTTCTCAAAGCTTTGCAAAGTTGGTTCTTGCTTCTGAACACCATCGACAAACTGAAATGTGGTATTTCAGTGTCATTGTTGTATCTTGGGTACTTGCTCTTCCTCTTCATTATCTGCCCATCTGAATCTTCATCATAGCTGTAGTCCTCGTCAGATGAGTCATAATTCCAGTCATCTTCCTCCCCCTCGAGCTGTACCTCCATGTTTGCAACAAGATCAATTGGAATAGGACATGTTGAATCCATGCCAATCCAGCTTTTTGACTCTCTCATTCTTTTCTTAAACTTTCTGGCATGTCTTCTTAGTTGCACAACCTCAGAATCTTCTCCACTGTCCTTGCTATGTGGCATGTATTCAGTGTCGGAATCTGAATCTGAATCCGAATGGGTGTCTTCTCTGTCAGTAGCAGCATCATTTCTCCTTCTAATAGTTGTTTGTTGCTTCACTGGGCTGGACAAAACTTGTGTGATCACACCAGTTTCATCAAGCCCTAGCACATCATGCTCATCTTCAGCCGGTTCTGCACTAATGACCTGATCTGGTTCTAAATCAGATAAATGCACAAGTTCATCGTCCTCAAAATCACTGCCACTCCTAGTGTCATGGCTGTCCTCGTCCCCATGGTACTCCACATACACATCTGCAACTCCACCCACACATATATAATCTTACATCTTCACACAAACACTGTCATTGTTAAGAAACAGCAACCCATTGAGAAGTTCTTTGCTAGGAATATGAAAATTATACTTCATGGATTCCTTCAACTCTACATGATCTTTCACAAAGCCTTTCACCTCCTGTAGTGATAGTTTGTCTCTCTCAATCTCTGAAAAACCTTCATCTCCTCCCACATAATCCAACTTCGGACCAATGTGGATGAACTCGCCACCAAAGTGAAATCGAACGTTCAATATGTCTACCGGGTCCATGATTTAGCTGAAAAAAATACAGATGAATATAATGTTATTTCCAACACAAATCAACTGCAAAATCTGACCAAAAGACCTAGCTTTCCAGCGGCAAGAACATCCCCAATTCCGCCCCTATGAACCCTAACCCTAATGCTGTGAAATCAACGAGTAAATTACTGCTAACGGGGGAGGAGGAGTTCGGGGACATTACCTTCACCTTCTTCCTTCCTCGCCTCGTCACGATCGTCACTGCCGCGGCGATCACCCGGCCCTCGCCATTGCAATCGCCAGAAGCAGAGTCGAACGCCAGGGGACACTAGCAATGGAGACGAGGTCAATTGGAGGGCCGCACTGGGCCGGCCCGTGCACTTTGCACACACGCGCACCGCCCTCTCTCCCCCCGATCCCTTTTTTTACTGTTCTCTCCCCCACGATCCCGATCTTTTTTTTCTAGGGTAATCCCGATATCCCCTTGCCACGTACACAATCCCTGTTTGGGTTTCCTTGTAAGGTTTGATTTAGACTGGGAATTATTAGTTTAGGGTCCTAATTTCAGGGATTAAGAGTTGCGGGTCCGATTTAACTAACCCCTACGAGATTAAGGTTTAAATTGGACTTCTTCCAAAAAAAACCCGACTAAACTGGGGGAAACCCCTTTTCCTTAAAAAAGGAGAGAGAAACAATTGACGGGCTCAGCTCTGGCCTGTGGTACACGGTTCAGTCAGTGTGATAAGTTTTTCCGTAAGCTATAATATCTCTCAGTTTTTTACTAGATAGAGTGTGTCACGTCCATACGCGGGGTGATTCGTGACGGAGTCAGTCACAACACAAGCATGTGATGGAACGGTCTCACGTGTACGTCACTGTCGTCGCGTGATTTCGTTAATTTTGTGTGCTGAAAAAAAAATCAACTAACGCTTCGTTTGGATGTCTCTATTGGGGAGCTCCGTATTGTATTGGTCTGAATTCCAAATCAGTGAGGAAACTGAAATGGCACGAATACGAATTGACCTGTTTGGTTTTCCAGTGAATTGGCCCTTGAAATGCCTCTGAGATTGCAATACCAAATCATGTCTGGATGACAAACTTTGGAATTGCATAGCTACATTACCTTACCAGGTTATACCTTGCCCTACATGACTCAAAAATGTAATCTGAATATGAATAAATATATAGCAATGAAAATAAATAAATATTCTAGATATACATCAGGAAAAGCGAAATCAACAAAATTTCCCTGATCTGCACAGTAGACAAAACTGAAAAAAATTAAAAATGGTGCAAAGACAGAGGGATTTTCAGGATTTGGAGGGGTTTGACAAGAAGATCTAGGCCGTAGCCATGGATCCATGGTGGAGCAGTGTTGTGGCTGCACAAAGAGAGGAGCATCTTGTACATACGTAATGGTGGAGTGATGTATAGAAGGAGCTACAGCTCATGGAGAAAGGAGGACTTGAGCCCGGCAACGATAGGCAAGGACGATGGCCACACGTGGCTAGAAGGGCGGAGCTGACGACGGGGCGCGCCAGTCCTGGGCCGCCGTCGACCTCCATGGCGGGGCGCGGCACAGGGCGACGGGAGATGGCGACGAGAAATGGGGTGGGGAAGAGGGGAGGGGCGGGCCTGCGCCGCCGCCGGCCGCCGTGGTGGTCGCCGCCGCCACCTGCTGCTAGGTCGCCGCCGCCACAACCTAGGTCAGCGCTCAAGTTCGCTCCTCCCGTTCCCCTTTGCTGCCTTCTATTTCTCTTTCGTGGGCTGAAGCGGTAAGTTTTGGGGGAGACATCAAAATTGGGCCAATTTGGAGCGCCACCCCTCCGAAACACGGGAGGAAGATTTTCACGGAGCAAAAACGGGCCTGAATTGCTCTTTCATTTCCAATACGAATTCTGTGTCCAGCCAAACGTCCGTAATGACCCCAGATGATTACCAAATCTATTTCCTGGGCTCCAATGGAGACATCCGGACGCAGTGTAAGAAGAATTCAGGCAGGGCATGCCATACACCTCGACAACGTACAGTGTCTGTCTATGAAGGATCTTAACTTACACCAAAATGTGCAAGTTAAAAGAAAAAAATCTACTCCCTCCGTCCAAAATTATTTGTCGCGGGATTGACATTCGTGCGACAAGTAATTCCGGATGGAGGCTAAACTGTACGCTGGAATTCCAATGAAAGCATGCATGTCAACAGTTGTTATGATCTGGTGTGTCATTTCCCTCCTATTTTCCCCACCACTCTTGATCGTCATCTGATTTGCTGGCTGGCCACTGGCCGTCAGGTACATGCATACATTCCTTCTCGAAGCAAGCGAGAATGAAAAAATGGGCTGATTGTAAAGCTGGTCGTAATGAGAGTATCATAGGTAGTATCATGCATGCCAATTAGGCAAATTTGATGAGGTGGCATATAATTAAATGAAGAAAGAGAGGGTTGAGTATCATATCATGATACCGTATCATATTAAATGTTGTGCTACTATGTGTCATGCATGCTAATAAATGAAGTCATCTATGATACTACCAAATGATATTATTCACTACGGATGTAATATTATACACTAGTATCATATGCATGATACTAGTATATGATACTTGCCATTACAACCAGTCTAAGGCCCGTTGCTTGCGTGCCACTGGATAATGGCGGCGTGGCGGCGCTAGCTAGCCTTGCGATGCTTGGCTGGCTCCCGGTGATCACACTCGCTCGTGCTGGCAGCTCACACCCAGCTGCCCGGCTACGTACGTTATCTCGATCGCCACCATCCTCGCGTACCAACGAACGAACGGGAGATTTTCCGTCGGTTTTGGACCTGGAAATGCCCCGCGGGATTTACCTGGTTCACCCACGTACGCTTCACCGGCGGGCAAAAATCCAGGACGACTTCTCTTCCTCCCCAGGCGCCACGCTTCCACACATGACACGTGTACGTAGGATACGCGCGCGGTACGTGCGTCCAGCTTGACTGAAAAAGCGGAAGGGCTTATTTCTGGGTGACGAAAATTCATCGAATTAGCTTGACCTAATCCGTTCTTACGTACCCGGTCTATTTTGATGCACTGCACACCCAGTCGGGTCTATTCTGCTGCAGTCCATACATGGATTGGTATGCTTTGAACCTGTCAAGACTCAAGAAATGTTATGCTCCCACTCGAATCTTAACAGCACACAGAGGAATTTAGGATACAAGTCTCAATCGATCTAGGGTTCTAGGGGAAAGGAAAGGGGATTGAGAGAGAAGTGCGCCGCCGCCAGCCTATTACTTTCTCCACACCTCGCGCAGGAGGCCTTGAGACCTACTTAACCTTACTCCTCGTTTCCCAAGTGTGGGCTGGGAACTTGCTGTTGGGCTTCACTTTGCGTCGTGGCCGTTCTAGGCCGTCAGGTGGTGCGGCAGCCTGGACCGTAGTTGTTGCTGCAGGTGAGGCCCGGGTGGCAGGGACCGTAACATTCCCTCCCCCTCGAGACACAACTTGTCCCCAAGCTGGTGCACCCGAGAAGTGGTGCTGGAGCTCGGCGACGTCCTCCCAAGTCGCCAACTCTGAAGGCTGGTCGGTCCAGCGAACTCGGACTTGTGGCGTGTTGTTGCCCCCTCGCTGGATGACTCGGTGCTCCAGGATCTCCTCCGGTATCAGACTTGCCGCTGCTGCTGTTGGAAGTTGCTCCAGGGCTTGCTCCGTCGGAGGTAGTGCTTGACGAAGCTGGGAGACATGAAACACCGGGTGCACAGTGCTGGAGTCTGGAAGCTGAAGCTTGTAGGCCACCACTCCCACGCATTGAAGTATCTTGTATGGGCCAAAGTACTTGAAGGCCAGCTTCTGGTTGGTGCGGGTGGTCACCGAGCGCTGCACATAGGGCTGTAGCTTGAGGAATACCCAATCATCAACGGTGAAGACACGGTCGGAGCGGCGTTTGTCTCTGAATCCTTCATTTGATGACGAGCGCGCAGGAGGTGTTGCCTGATTAGCGCCTCCATCTAGGCTCGGTCTTGCAGCCACTCCGCGATATCTGGTGATGCGCAGGCCACTCGGTCCACGATGCCGAAGAAACGCGGAGCATGGCCATATAGAACTTCGAACGGAGTTGCTCCCAGTGCCAAGTGTGGTGAGGTATTGTACCAAAACTCCACAAGGGCCAGCCACGCATGCCATTTGGTAGGACATGCATTGACGAAACAACGAAGAAAGGTTTCCAGGCATTGATTGACCCGCTCTGTTTGTCCATCCGTCTGAGGGTGTCGTGCTGTACTCATCCGAAGCTTGGTGTGAGTGAGGCGAAAGAGCTCCTTCCAC